CACACACACACACACACACACACACACACACACACACACACACACACACACACACACACACACACACACACACACACACACACACACACACACACACACACAAGTGCTGCTTCATGGGGTCCCGATTCATCGCAGCCCCTTCTTGCCCTCTTTCTCACGCCACCACCCACCTCACCATATTCCACCTCATCGCGCCCCGCCCCCTCTCCCCAGATGCCTCGCTGTCATCGCTGGAGGTGCAAACCCTCAACACGCGCGTGGTGCCGTGCCCCTACCGCCAGAGCCTGCTCAAGGGCGAAATCGAACCGGCCAAGTATGCCGCCACCTTTGTCCCGACCACCCGCACCTGGAGCAACAGCACCTTCGTCTCCGGCCTCGACGACTCGCGCAGGTAGTGTCTGCGTGTGTGTGTGCGTCTGTGCTTGTGTGTGTCTGTGTCTGTGTGTCTGCGTGCCTGTGTGTGTGCATGTGTGTGTGTGTGTGTCTGACTATCGGCCTGCAACTCGGCGTTGCAGTGTGGATGTGTCTGCCATCCACTGAGCCTCCTGCGCAACACCCCGTGTCCCTCACCTAATTCCATCCTCCCTCACGCCTCTCCACTTCCGCCCACAATCAGTGCTGAGGAAAAGGATGCGCTTGTTGATGAGATGTTCAACCGCTATGCCGCCCGCATCTCAAAGAACCCGACAGACCACGGCATGGACTATGTGCATGCTTACCTCGCCTTTGCCAAGAAGTGAGCGTCGCGTCCTTCATAACCAACCCAGCGCTTGAGGAGGCTGGGTTGTCTCATAAACATGGGGGGGTTGACTGCCGAGTGGTGGTGTTGGTTTTGTCGCATTGGCCATTCTTGTTTCTTCCTGTCGACAGTCTCGTGCTTTGTTTGCCCTGTCTTTTAGCTTGGGTGTCTGTGCCTGTGTCTGCGGTTGTGTCTCATTGCTTGTGGTCACATCACATCACACTTCCCCTTCTTCCATTCCTTCCACTCCATTCCCCGTCCCTGCCCCCCGGTCATACTGTGTGCGAACTCCCGCCCCCCCTCCTCCCCCAACAGTACACAACAACGGTCATCCTCATGAAAGTCACAACTGCCAACAGATGCTGCGTGTTTCGCAAGTTGATTTTGTATTAGCGTGCGCACAAAGACCAGAGCTCGGTGCGGAGCGGTTGTAACAGCAGTTGCATGTGCAGGAACAGCCACCAAAGGCAACGCATTACGTGCCGCCATCATGGCTGCTGCACACAAGGCACTCAGGTAACTGCTGTTGCTGTTGCTTGGTCAAGCACAAAGGCAGAAGCAGGGTGGGGAACAAAAGAGAGAGAGATCAGAGTTATCGTGGGTAACAACCACGCTTGAAAGTGGCAGATAGGCACAATATCACCACACACAGAATACATGCACAGACAGACACACACACACTCATACACAAAAGACATGCACAGACAAACACTCACACTCACTCACTGACACAGACACACACACAGAATGCATACATATCCACAACACACACACGCTGCAAACACGCATATACCCAGCGCGTAATGCACTCTTAGGAGCATGGGGTCATCATCTTCGCTTCAGTCAGCAACACAAAGCTCACACATTCCACCATCAACCAAACGATTATGTTGAAAGGAAACAGCAAACCGCTGGGTGCAATCAATTGTTGTGCTAAACACAACGCAAAACGAAAAGCAAAAAAAAGGTGGGGCAAAGTCACCCATTCGGGCTCAATCCCGCTGTAACGCTGATAACGCTGATCACGCTGACACCGCTGGTCGTCTGGCCGAAGAAGCATCAGCGGATACCATCAGCAGCGCCACTCTTCAGAACGGTTGGGGAAAGGACGGGGGGGGGGGGCGTATTGTCATGGCGAGATCAATACACCTTGCCATTGAGCCTGCGGCGCGTTGCGACGGGCGGAGGCAGGGTTGTCTTGCATCGTGGGCAAAACCCTTTTGCCTTCTCAATCTTGCGAGGGATGTACGAACACTTTGTGCAATGCACGCCATACTTCTGCCAGCGAATGCCGCACGCATTGCACAGACGCGCGTCGTTGGGGCCGTCACGCCACATGGGCGTCCTGTTGTCACAGTGGTGGTGGCGGTAGTGGTGGTGGTAGTGGTGGTCAGAGTTGGAGGGGAGGGTGAAAGGGAGGGCGGAGGAGAGGATGTACACACCCATGTAGTAGCAGGCACACACGCACACACAGTCACTCACACACACACACACACACACACACACACACACACACACACACACACACACACACACACACACACACACACACACACACACACACACACACAGCACGTACGATGTGATGCCGCAGCAGATGCAGCCGTTGCCCGAGGGATCCACCATCAGGGGTCGCACGCGCGCAATCGACGGCGACGACGACGACGACGAAGAGCAAGAGGATGACGATGACGAGGACGATGATGATCGTGATCGGTGCTTGAGGGTGCGCTTCCCCCTCGCAGGCGACACGGGCTTGCTGCTGCGAGAGCGCTTGTGGTGCGTGTGATGGTGGGACGAAGACGGCACGCGCTTGGGCTCCCGCGCACGCAACTTGGCGACCTTTGCACGCTTGGCGGACTTGCCCTTTGCCATTGCACCTGGCGAGGGCGATGTTGAGTTGGACACTGACGGAGACGATGCCGGCGACGACGACGCTGACATGCTTGCGTCTGAGGCGACGGATGCGGAGCTGAACGTGCTCGCTGTGCTGGCTGTGCTATCTGAACGCTGGCGCCCAACACCGCGCACACCCTTGCCGCGGCTTACCACGTGCCCCTCATGAGGATGCTGATGTTGCTGCTGCTGCGGATCTTGTTGGTAGCCGAGGCGCGTGGCCGCTGCGGCGTTGCTCTGGGGCGGTGTCGTTGGCATATTCAAGGGGCGTCCGCACGGGACGGGCACGAGCGACGCCGGAATCACGTGCTCGTCGAGCTGGCGCTGGCGACCAAGGTGGCGGAGTGTGGTGTGGTGTACAGATGCGACGGCCCCAAAACTGCTGCTGTAGCTGTAGCCAGCGAAACGCGTGCTCTTCTTCCTCTGCTGCTGTTCCTGCTGCCTGATTGCCTGCAATCGGCTGATGGCGTGCAGCGTGTCGTTGTGCTGGGTGGTGCCCTGTGGTGCCTTGCACAGCAGCGAGTGCTCTTGCGCCAGAACTGTGAGCTCAGCCAGGGCCAGCCTGGACTGCTCGTGGTGTCGCTGTTGCTGCTGTTGCGGCAGCTGTTGGAGGTGGGGCGTGCTGCTGTTGTTGTTGTTCCCTGCAAGCTCTCGCACGCAGCCGGGGCTGGTGTAACTTGGGCCTTGCGTCAATGGCACCGACGTTCGGCGGCCAAAGAGGCGGGCGTGGGCCAAGTCAGCGCAGCTGCGCTTGGTGGGATGGTGGTGCTCGTTGTCACCACTTGTGTCCATGGACAGGGCGTAGGAGGTGTGCATGGTGTGGAAGGCGACCTCATCCCGCGGGTACACGTCCATGCTCAGCACGTCCACATCAAAGACGCCAAACAGGTCCATGAAGCGCCGACACCTTCAAACACGCGCATGCGAGACATATCGGGGAATGGGAGGAGGTGTAGGTGAGATGGTATGAGTAAGGAAGAGGGTGGGTGAACGAGGTGGGAATATGACACGGATCGCTCCGTGATACACACACATACACGCACAGCAAGCAAGGAACCAAAAATGAAAACAACAAACAACAAAAACCAAAACCAGAGCATCGCCAACGACGAAGTCATACACACACACACACACACACACACACAAACACACACACAAACACACACACACACACACACGCACACGCACACACACACACGCGCACACGCACACGCACACACACACCTCATGTTGTTGGTGTTGTTGGGCTCTTTGTGCGGCATGTCACCCTGGTCGGCATCAGAGTGTGCCGAGTCTGCAGAATCGGTGGATCCGACAGAGGCCGGCGACGTCGGGCGCGATGTCGGCGCGTGCTTGTGTTGTTGGCTGGTCGACATCCCCCGCATCATCGTGTGCTTGGCTGAGGAGCCTGCAGTCATAGTTGTCGGCAAGTAAGACATGGCTGCACTGGCGGTGCACCCTTCTTCTCTTCTGTGGTTGTTGTTGTTGTTGTTGGCCCTCGCAGAGCAGTTTAGGCCAGTCGGTAGGTGCTTTGGTGTTGTTGACCTTTGGCAGGCGGGATCTCGATGGTTTGCTGCTTGGGGGGGGGGGAATAGAAAATGGGAATCAAGCGGAGTTAAGGTTTCGTCAGGCGCAGCTTCCTTCACCCACACGATTCAGCCGATCCGTGATGTCAACAGCTGCGTGTGCGTCTCTTTCTTTGCTCACTTGGACCTTGTGGGGGGTGCGCGGTCGGAGTGTTTTGGCCAGGTGACAGCTGGTTGTTGGAAAGGGGAAAGGCCACAGGCACAGGCACACAAGGGCCTTGCAAAGGGAACAAACTGGCTGGTCTGGTCTGGTGTTTCGATTTTGTTTGTTGGTTGTTTGTTGGGTGGCGTCGTGGTTTTTTTTCCTTTTGATTTGGCCTTCTTGCTTGTGTGCGTGTGTGTGTGTGTGTGGTTTGTGTGCACACCAAGCACGAGCAAGCAGTGGTGCTCTTGCTTGCAGGTCCAAGCGAAGTGGCGAAGCATTTTGTCCGCGAAATCGGGACAGTACAATTTCGTTAAAGATTTCAATTGATTTTACCACATGTCCTACCAAAACGTGCCAAAAATGACAGCAGCCGGGGCAAATTGTTGTCCCTGACCTGCAAGGTCGTTGTGGGGTTGGGAGACACTGACATCAGTGTATGCGCGCCACGCGCGCAATGTGCTGACTCATGTCAACTCTCCTCACACACAGTTTTGCATTGGTGTCTCTCTCTCGCGCTTGTCTGTGTCTTGCCCACGTCAGTCTCTGTCACAGCACGTCACTGTCGCTCTCAAGCACATCCTCTCCCTCCTTGCACCCATTGCATGTGTGTATTCTGCTGCAAAACACAAGGGAAGACAAGGGGAAAGGGGGCGCAAAAGCTGCATGTCAACTAATGATGAGGCGGGTTAGAATGCTTTGGAGAACACAAACACAAACACAAACTTGCCTCTGGCAGGGCATTCCATTTGAAACACAATCCCTCACACACAACACGACAACAACAAAACAGCCAAACCAAACCAAACCAAACCAAACGAACCAACATATCGCACACGTGCACATGGTGATGTAACAACATTCAACGCATCACAACAAGCCAGCAAGCATGCAAAAGCACAGCACAAAGGAAACAAGGCACATGCACGCGCGTGCGCACAAACACAGCAACACGAAGATGACGGTGGTGAAATGGGTGCAACAAGTTGAGGAACAAGAACAAGAACAAGAAGCCAAGCATGCGGCGCCTAGCGGGCAGCCTCGGCGTTCATGAGCTTGTTGCGGTCTTCGTTGAGGAAGGACGCGGGCCAGTTCATGTCCTGGATATGGCACTCGCCCTTGGTGAGGCCCATGTAGTGGGCGCCCTCGAGGTGTGCATAGTCAACCTCCGTCACGCCATCGTTGGGCTTCGCAAGCACCGCATTCGTCAACTGTCGTGGTGTCGGCGGGGGACACAGATGGTGTCAAGGAGGGAGGGGACAAGATGAAGAGCAGAGGAGAAAGGGTTCATGTGAGCCAAAAGGAGGGCGATGACGTGATGTGATGTGGCGCAAAGCACTGAAGCTGCAAGACACGGACACCAGTCCCCAACAAGGTCGCTTCCCAACACGCACACACGCGTTCATATGAACCAACCACACGCATCCACAACACGCAGCACAGAACACCACGCACCATGTTGCAGTAGCCGTTGCCGAGCGGGCCGCCCTTGTCGTATTGGGTGACATAGTAGTACATGTTGTCGGCAACCTCGGCGGAGATGCCGGAGAGCCACATCTGCGCACCGTCGCGGGTGAGGTCTTCCTGGGAGTCGCAGCCTTCCTCAACCAGCATGTTCAGCACCTGTCACGAGGTCGGAGGATCGGGCCCCGGGGGGAAGCAACACACAAGAACAACACAAGACAAAGAGGGAGGGATGGAGAAGGGGTATCAGCAGGTCAGCAACAAGGAGGAACGCACAAACAAGCACAAACAAGAAACACCCACCAGCCATGTCGCAAGCTGGACGTCAAGACACACACACACACACACACACACACACACACACACACATGCACACGAAGCGAGCGTAACGCCACACCTCAGCCCAGAAGCCGGCACCCGAGTTGCCCTGGTATGGCGTGCCCATGGACTGCAACTTGCGGGCACCCTGGGCAGTTGGCAGGTCGAGCATGGAGGATGCGTGATGGTTGAAATGGGTGGTGGTGGTGGTGGTGAGCAGTGACAACGAAACGATCACACTGCACGAAACTAAACGCGCATGTTGTCAGTGTTGTGCAAGTGGTGCAAAGAAACACAAAGACCAGAAGCAGCGCAAAACACCGCCATCTGACCATCACAACCACCAAAACAAAACACAAGCAAACCAATTTCCAGCCACGAAGCAAAAGCCAGACGCAGTTGCAGTCCCACATGCGCACGGACCTGGGAGGCGTCGACACCGGTCCAGTAGTAGTTGTACACGTGGACGGAGGCAAACCCGCCCTGGGAATGGCCGAGCAGCCCATACGAGGTCAGGCCCTCCTTCTCCGCAAACTCAACCACGAGCTGGGCAAATTTGTCGTGGGAGCGCGACTGCTTGGGATCCTCAAAGTAGCGCGCATCATCCCACACCTGAGCACAATTGCACGCACGAGGAACGTGCAATTGGGGAGTGGTGAGACAAAGGTTCATGCGGCGCATAACAGGAACGGCAGATCAAGCGATTGGAAAAGATGTGCAGTTGGGGAGGAAGGGAGGGAAAGCTTGTGTGTTGAGCATCCACACATACACGATCACACACACGCACGTACGCACGCACACGCACGTACGCACGCACACAATCACACAATCACACGCACGTACGCACGCACGCACACACACACACGCACGCACACAATCACACACAAGCACACAGACAGAGCAACACAAATTCATGCTCACACATGCATAACAAAACCCAGCCACAAGCGGCAGACACGGGGGAGCGTACGTGGCTGGTGTGCTTCCACGGGTTAGAGTCGGAGCAGTAGCCGTGCAAGAGGACGAGGGCCGGGTTTGCGTCGGCGGCAGCGGTGGCGTTGCCGGATGCGCGGGCAGTGACGCGCTCGTGCAGCCACTTGGGGCGCACGCCAAACCGCATCTAGGCAAGGGCGAGGGGGTGAGGGACCAAGGTGAGACCAAGGTGGAAGGAGAAGGGATGGTGGAGAGTGATGGGGTGGTGGTGGTGGAGAGGGATGGTGGTGGTGGTGGTGGAGAGGGATGGTGGTGGTGGTGGAGAGTGATGTGGTGGTGGTAGTGGAGAGTGATGGTGGTGGTGGTGGGTGGTTGTGGTCACTGGATGTGGCATGGAAATGACGTCTCGTGCGTGCAACTGTGTGCAATTGCCACAAACAACATCACGCACGCACGCACACGCACACACACACACACATGTACATAAACACAAACACACATAGATATAAAAACACGCACACACACAAAACACCTTCTCTGTGACGGTGCCGTCGTATGTTGCGTTTGCAGTCTGGAATGCGCGCCAGAGAGCAACGTCGTTTGAGGCGGACAGCGGCGCGTCAATGGCGCCCATTGTCGACACGGGGATGAACGTGTTCACCTCCTGCACATACACGTTCTTCAGGGAGAAGGGGCCCACAGCAGCAGCAGCGGCGAGCCAGGCAAGGTCCACGTCGAGGCGAAGGACGGGCGCACCGTTGCTGCCCGCTGTTGGGGCAACGAGCGCAGACGACCACGCAACTGCACGCGTAGGCACGTAGCAAGATGATGTCAAGTGGCGGCGGTCAGGCGCATGAATGGGTCAAGGGAGGGGAGGTGAGCGTGAACAGGGTGGCAAAAAGGGGGGGGAGGAAAGGGGATAGCGTACATGTCACGTGCGCAAAGGTTGTTGCACATCACAACTGTGACAACAGCAGAAGGTATGGCAGCAACAGAACCACAGCTGCAAACGGCAACAGAACCACAGCTGCAAACGGCAACAGAACCACAGCTGCAAACGGCAACAGAACCACAGCTGCAAACGGCAACAGAACCACAGCTGCAAACGGCAACTATCTACAACACACATTACACAACACACAACACATTTCCAACACGTTCACAGACAACAACAACGACGACGACTGACTTGGGACTTCGTGTCCGGTAAAGATGTTCCTGCCGTGGAGCTCAAAGTAGGCCCTGTAGCGCTCGGCGAGGTCTGTGAACCCGGCATCCACCTGGAACTGCTTGACCGCGAGGTCGACGACGAGGCGGTGCTGGGCACGGTCCACGTGCATGTCGACCGCACCGGTCAGCTCCAGGCTGCGGGGCACGATACGCACACTGTGCTCGGCCGTGCGAACAAAGGCGGCGCCGTTGCTGCGCGTGCCCTCCAGCACCGTCTGCACGAGGTACGAGCCGCACACGTCGGGGACAAAGCTGCCGCCAAACACGCCGTCGTTGGCGAGGAGGTCGTTGTGCAGGCCATCGTCGTGCATCTGCTCCTCCACGCGCGTGCCGTTGGGGAAGAAGACCTCCAGCTTGGCGGCGGAGACGGCATCGCCGAGGGCGGTGGGGCGAAGGCCCTTGGCCTTGACCAGGCTCGGGTTTGCAGTCACGTCATACATCTGGGCCTGGAAGCCGAGGTTGTCGTCCTGGCGCATGGTCAGGTACGACGTGAGCTTGCTGAAGATCTCGTCCTGCGACTCGTTCCACACCAGGAGGATGCCGTCCCCGGAGGTCTTGCTCCTGCTGCGAGCACCCTGCACGCGCTGCAGAAACTCGGCCTCGGCCATGTCGCTCACGGCGAGCGTGAGGTGGTACGTGCCGACGGCGGGCTTCTCAAACGTGTACACGTCGCCAATAATCTCAGTCGCGCTGTCGCCAACCGGCCAGAAGGACTGGGTCTTGTGGCCCGAGAGATCGACGGCGTTGCCGCTGGGGTCGCGCAGGGTCGGCTCAAGCCGATCCAGCAGCGGGGACATGAGCGAAAACTGGAACCCCTCGTCGGAGTCCACGACCACATCCACCTCGTAAGTCCACAGCCGCTCGTTGTCGGCCGTCTGCTCAAAACGCATGAAGTGCGTCGCCGACGACTGGAACAGCGCGCCAAGCGAAGAGTCCGGGATGCCGTGGCGCTTGAACTCGGACGGCGGGCCACCCAGCATCTTGTGGTCCAAGCCGTGGGCGCTGTGCGCCACCACAGCCGCAAGCACTGCAAACACAAACACAACAACCTTCATCATGGCGGTGCGTCCTCTGCTTCGTAATGGTTGTTTGTGTGTGGAAATGTGCAAGTCGCTCCAGAAACCACAAACGATATCGCTTGTGCTTCTTGGAAAATACGCAGGGGAAGTATTGTTGTGATAATTGGTGTGTGATGTTACAAATTTTCTAGCCAAGCACAGGGGGAACCAAAGTGAGCAAGTGGAGCAAGAAAGGCAGCAGCGGAGAGCACGACACATCGCTGTGCACAAGCACATCATCATCATGTCCACGACAGCAACCGCAGCAGTGGCCATGGCCATGGCGACGGCACGCCGGGTGCACGTGGCAAAGGGCTTTGTTGCAAGAGCTGTGGCTTGCGTGGGTGCGACGCCAGCCAGGGCTCAGCTGCACACTTGCTCCTGCATGCACACAAAGTACCCGCCAAGGGACCCGCAGTACGACTTCAAGATGTACACGCTGCGGCCAGCCGCCAAGGCACAGGCATCGGACTTTATCCATGAGCTTGGGCTCACCAACAATGGCGTCATCGGCTCCCGCCTGACCATCGAGGCCGTGGACCAGTACTCTCGCATGGGTGCGTGCTGTGGTTGAAGGAGCGGGCGTGTGCTGTGTGTAGTGTAGTGTGTGCGTGTGCTGTATGTGTAGAGAGAGAGAGTGTGTGTGTGTATGTCTGTCTGTATGTCCGTTCTTATGTGTGCGTCCGTTCTTATGTGTGCGTCTGTTCCTGTGTGTGTGTGTGTGTGTGTGTGTGTGTGTGTGTGTGTGTGTGTGTGTGTACACGCTGCGCGTCACGTCTGAGTGTTGTGTTGTGGAGCGCGCCTCCTGCACCGTTTACCGCACGTTTCTAGATGAGCATTCGTTTTTGTCTCACGCTCCCCCTTCTTGTCACTGCTCCCTTGCGCGGGACTGTGCACAGGTTCCAACAACGCACAGGTTCCCTTGCCTGCGTCCACACCCAGGTCCAAGAACACGCAGCACAGCTTCCTCCTCCTTGACGAGGACAAAGTGCCCCACGTAAGTTACGCGTGTGTGTGTGTGTGTGTCTGTCTGTGTCTGTGTGTGTGTCTGTCTGTGTCTGTGTGTGTCTGTGTATGCGTGTGTCTGTCTGTGTGTGTCTGTCTGTGTCTGTCTGTGTCTCTGTGTGTCTGTGTAAGGGCAGTGAAGCGAGTGTGATGCTGTTGTCTGGATGAGTGATTGTGTGAAATGCGCAGCTGTGTTTCACACCGTTGGGAGGCAAGCACGGGGTGGTGCAGCACGCCACAGCAGGCCCCTTGTTACCCAATACTCACTGTTGTTTCATGCGATGCACATGTCAACAGTTTATGAAAAACGCGACAGAGTACGTGTTTCCGGACCTGGAGGGTCTTGATAAGGAATACGACATGCCGGAGAGCGAGGTCATCTCCCGGGACCCCGCGTGTGCCAACCGCCGCTTCTCTTTCGTCTTTGTGGACACAAGCGAGGGCCAAACACACAACGTGAGAGTAGACAAAAGAGAGAGTGTGTGTGTGTGTGGTGTCTGTGTGCAGGGTGTTGAGTGTGAGCGCCTGTGTGTGTGTGTATGCAAGGTGTTGAGTGTGAGCGCCTGTGTGTGTGTGTGTGTGTGTGTGTGTGTGCGTTGAGTGTCTGCCTGCATATCTGCCTGTCTGCATATGTCCTGCCTGTCTGTCTGTCTGCTTGGCACCTACCTCACCACTTCTTTGCCTAACACGACACCACCGTGTTCCTCCCTCCCTGGTCTGTGCTTCGCCGTTTCACTCTGTGTGCTGTGCAGACCCGCCACATCCGCATCCGCGAGCAAGACGGCACCCTGCGCACGGCAACACGCGAGGAGCACGAGCGATACAACCAGGTCAGTCACGCTTGGGCTGTTGTCGTGTCGAGTGTTGTGCGGGGTTTTCTAAGGCTCGTCGATGCTGAGACTGCGTTCAGTCCACACACGCACGCTCAATTACGCACACTCACTCACTCACTCACGTACACTCACTCACTCACTCACGTTCTCACGTGTGCTGCAGGAATTCTTTGCGGAGCCGAGCAAGCGGGCCCAGCGGCCTGCTGTGTGCCGGGAGGAAAGCCTGCCTGGCATGTTTGCCATGAACCGCCACAAGTACATCCTGGACCTAACTGTCAAGCACCTCCACCCTTACCAGCGTGACTACCGCGAGGTGCGTCTGTGTGTGTGTGTGTCTGTGTGTCTGTGTGTGTCTGTGTGTGTCTGTGTGTGTGTCTGTGTGTCTGTATCTGCGTCTGTGCCTGTGTCTGCTTGTGCAGCCCTTTTGCTGTGACTGCACACGTGCATGCATGTGTGTATCTCTGCTTGCCTGCATTCTCCTTTCCCCCTCCCACCTGCTGATGCTCGTCGCTGTCTCATCCGTGTGTTGCGCGCGCCCTGTGCGCTCAAAACCGCCTGTGGTTGCGTGTTTCATCAGGTGCACGAGGCCGTGTACAAGGATGTTGTTGTCACGAGCAAGTTCAACGCGCTGCAGGACTCGCCCCACTGGCCTGCATTTGTCCGCTGGCTTGTCCGCACCGACCAGGCACATGTCCTCATCTCCACCCTCATGAAGGCGTCAAGGTTTGTCCTTCTCTGTTTCGTTTTCTGCGTCTGCGAGCGTGTGATGTGAATTGGGTGCACGCGTCTCTTCCTCCCGACTTTCTGCGGGAAGCCCATGACACTGCAACCCGCTGCCTTGCTGTGACTCACGCTCGACCACCTTCCACACGTGGACCAACATACGCGGGTTGCCTTCCCGCGTTGCACAGGTTCAAGGACGCCGCAAAGCTGGTGCACTTTATCAAGACAGGAAGCATCGCCATCCCGGATAGCATTGAGGAGAACAAGAAGATTGCCCAGGTAATGGCTGCAGCACGGTTACGCCTGAACGCCACACCACAGCGTGTGCAAAAACAAAAAAAAAACTTGCCTCATCACGCACTCGTGCTCGCCCTCACAACCCCATCACACGCTCATGCTCTCCCTCGCAATCCCACAACGCGCTCATCTTCACAACCCCACAACACACGCACCCACGATTGGCAGGACTACCTGCAAGAGTTCAAGCCACTCAAGGGCAACAAGAACAAGCAGCAACAGCAGCGCAAAGCGTGACGTAGGAATGAGGACGCGTGCATAGTCTTCGGTTGTTCTTCTTCACCTTTTTCTTCCTTGCTTCACTTCTTCTTGCTTGTCCATCCAGTAAACGTATCGCACGTCGCAGGTGTTCATCATGTCACACATCACCGCGCCTCAACATTCACATGCACAGTCGTGTGTCGGCTCTCCAACTTGTGTGCCAGTTACTGTGCTGCGATTGTGCAAACTGTAACAACCCTGAAGACCGCATCATTTTGTTGTCATTTCACTTTCGTTGATGATGACGAAGGCGCTTCTGCACTTACAACTCATGCCTAGACCCCCACTCCAGCAACCCACCAAGAACAACCGTGACGCATGGCGATGACAAAGGAGTGCTGTGGCGTGGAGCGCGTTGAAGACGTGGAGGTTGTGTTGGACGAGATGCTGCGCGTGGTGCATGCGTCCTTCGATGCGTTTGTGGCCCCGGATTTCAGTGAGGAAGGCAAGGCCAACTTTCGAGCGCACGCCACGCGCGACGAGATGCTGACCCGAAAGGATACGCACGACTGGTTTGTGGCACGGGACCCCATCACGAAGGAGCTGGCTGCGGTTGTGGAGGTGCGCGAGAGGCGCCACGTCTCCAAGTTCTTCACCCATCCGTCGCACCAACGCAAAGGGTACGGGCGAGCACTCATGCAGGCAGCATTCGAGCTGTGTGCAGAACACGCACGACAGCAGCGCCAGCGCAAGCAAGCGACTGCGTTGGAGCAACAGGCTCAGTCACACAAAACAGACGCAGCAAGGGCAGCCACGACTCCGACAACGGTCAAGGAGGCAGACAAGGAGGGGCAAAGCGGAAGGCTTGGACACAACGAGGAGGACGACTGCCTTTGCCTTTCTTCTGCACAAGTGACGCATGTCACAGTGTGTTCCTCGCCCTACGCTGTGCAGGTGTATTCGAGGCTGGGGTTCGTTGCCACTGATGAAGAGCAGACCGAACACGGCATGCGGTTCGTCCCAATGCAAGCAACCCTCGAATTATAGACGTGTGGCGGGAGACGTGCGTGTGTGAGTGCAGTGTCGTGTTGGGTGTGTGGTGTCTGGTGTGGGTTTCTGTTTGTTCTCAGGTCCAATGAAGGATCGCGTTTTTGAGCGTCACAGGTTGCTTCTTGCCATTGCCTGCCATCTTGCATGTACTTGAGAATGAATAAACGCGTGTAAAGGAGGGGGATTAGACCAAGGGAGCGTGAAGCGAGGAGGCTGAGTGCTCTTCTGTTCTTCTGTTGCTCGTGGTTGCTTGGTTGGTTGGTGTCCCCAGCCCAGCAGAGCGGTGCCAGCAAGCAAGCATCGCTCCATATTGGTCTACATTTTGTGCTGTCGCGTCCTGCGGCGGTTATCGAATCGAGTGCGGCGGCGGACACATTGGTGTGCAGCAGCAGAGCACGCTAACATTCATAAGCAAGCAGGCACCTGCCATGGCCACGTCGAGGCTGTTCGCCCCGAAGACGCGGGTTGTGGACTGGGGCAGCATCAAGGCCATTGATGTCGACGATGTTATTGCCACGGAGAATGAGGACAGCCTCGCTCACTTGGAGGAGCTGTACGACATGATCGTGCGGGTAAGATGTGGCTCTGTGTTGTTGTGCCTGCTTGTGTTTGCTTGTGTTGTTGTGCCTGCTTGCGTTTACACGTGTCGTTGTGCCTGCTTGCGTTTACACGTGTCGTTGTGCTTGCTTGTGTTTGCATGTGTTGGTGTGCCTGCTTGTGTTTGCTTGTGTTGTTGTGCCTGCTTGCGTTTACACGTGTTGGTGTGCTTGCTTGTGTTTGCATGTGTGGACTGATGGGTGTTGCCACTGAATCCCCACACTCACTTCCTCACGCATGCACGCACATGCACACAATTCACAACACACAACGCACACACAACTCACAACACGACGCATATGGCAGTGTGCACCTGCTCCCTCGGCGTTGAAGAAGGACATCTTGCAGCTCTTCCGTGTCACACAGCTACTGCTGGAGCTCAAAGCAGACGTGCGGTTTTGGTGTTGCGATGCACCCTTGCTCCCACCGTATTCGCCGTGATTCCCGTCCTTCCTCGGCCTGCCTTGGCCTTCCTTCTTACACTCGTCGCACTCACGTGTTGATGCGCTTCATTCCCTGCTTCACAGGATGCAGAAGAGTATGCTCAGCAGTTGCAAGCCTCGCAGCGCTCCGCACGCGAAGCAGGTGCAACGTTTCGTCTGCTCGCAGACATACACATTCACACCCGCAATTACACGCACACGCATGCGTCTTCATTCACACGCACACACACCCATGTAAGGTCACACTGACTCTCACTGCCAAACGATCCCACGCTTGCACAACATGCACACCACGCCTGGCAGCCGGGCCCATCTCACGGCCGTCCACCGGCGGGGATTCGCGACAGCTGCAGCGGAAGGTGGAGCAGCTGCAGTTGGAACTGCGGCACAAGACAGAATCGCTCGAACTCGCGCAGCAGGATGTGCAGAACCTGAGCTCTGATCTTGAAGCTGCACGCAGCCATGCAGACGACCTCGAAGCAGGTGTGTGTGTGTGTCATGACGATGGTACTTTCCTTGCCGCTGTTTTGATTTACGTAGCATCTGGCCACTCACGCGCGCACCTTCACACACTTCCTCTCACTCCCACTCACTCTCACACAATGCCCCACTTTCACACACATACACACATGTGGCAGCCAACAAGAACTTGATTGCTGAGATTGATGACCTGAAAGCACATGCAGAAGCCAAGGTGCGACTGCTCTGCTATGGTGGACATTGTCCCAGGACTTGTTCCCCTTGCTTGATCGTTTCTTTGCTTCACCGCTTTTCAACGCCAACGCACACGAACACATGTACACACTCACTTACACATACACACATCCACAAACACACACCTGCAAACACCACCCCCAAACACACGCTCTGTTACAAACACACACTCACACGTACACGCATACGCACCTACTTATACGCATCCTGTCAGACTGCGGCGACGGCCGAGGCAGCCCAACACCAGGACCGCATCAGCCAGCAGCTGCAGGAACAGCGGGCGGCGATGGCGCGAATGGACGAAGCGCTGCGAGAGGCGCAGGAGCAGGTGCAGCGGCAGCGGGAACAGCTCGCACAGGCACAGGCCGCAGCAGCAGAGGACGAGAAGGTGGGCGCTGTGTGGCTGTGCTTGTGTTTGTGTGAATACTGGTGTGCGTGTGCGTGTGCGTGCGTGTGCGTGCGTGTGCGTGTGCGTGTCAGCATGTGCATGGTCACTGCTACCCGCAAAGAACCACGTGACACATTCCTCGTTCTCAACATCACGATCACCACTCCCATCCTTGATCATCATCGCGGCACCAGCGAGCGGAAGGAGCGGAGAGCAGGGTGCATGACTTGGCAGCCCGCGTGTCGTCGCTCGAACGCGAACTTGAGACCGCTGTGCGAGACCGTGATGCTGCGCTGGCACACGCCGACATCTTGGCGTCGCATGTAGCAGACAACACGGCCGCCGACACGCGAATCCTCGCACAGGTCGACGCGACCGTGAAAAAGGTACCGCCACAATGCTCGCTTGCTGTCATCGTGTGTGTGTGTGTGTGTGTGTGTGTGTGTGTGTGTGTGTGTGTGTGTGTGTGTGTGTGTGTGCGTGTGTGTGTGTGTGCATGTGTGTGTGGGGTGTGTGTGTGTGCATGTGTGCACGCTCTGCTGTCATGCATGTGTGTTTGTGTTCTTGTTTGCGCGTGCGTACGGGTGTTCTGCTGCTGTGCGCCTGCTCATTATGAAGCTCTGTACCCTCACACCACCATTCTTCAACATCCAACACCGCCGCCACCACCAACAGTGGCAGCACATGCTGGGCGAGAAGGACGCCGAGTTGGCAGCCGCCCGCGAGGTAATCGCGCAAACTTTACAGTGACGAGGCCGTACGGGAACATGTGGACGTGTGTGTATGTGTGTGTGTACAATCGTGTTGCTCACTGCTTTTGCTTTTCTCTCTCTCTCACTGTCACTCACCCTCATCTTCACTCACCTACACGCGCTCTAACACCCCACCCCACCCCCACCTCCACAACCTTCAATACGACTGCAACAGGTGATGTCGCGACTGCAGGATGAGGTTGTGCGGCAGCGGCAGGAGGCCGGACGCGAGGTGGAGGAGATGAGGAGGCAGCACGAGGGGGAAGTGGCAGCTCTCGAGCAGCAGCTTGCAGCAGTGCAGAGGGAAGGCGCAACGCAGGGGACAACACCATCGCTCCCTTCAACAACTGCACGCGGTAGGAACAGGCATTGTGTCGATATGCACGTGTAGTTCTGATGAGAGAACAGGAGCGAAATGACGATGATGTATGCGTTTGACACCTGCCCTGCCCCCCCCCCCCCCCCACTGCTGGGCGGTGCCAGTGCGTGTAATGTCACAAGCATGCTGTGTTTCGTACGTGTGTGCACTCTGACGTGCATCCCGTGCGCTCATGAACGTCACATGTTGCCGCATGTAGACCACGAAACGCAACTGAAGAACCTCAGGCGAACACTTGAGGAGGCGCAAGCGTAAGTGAAACATCACATCGTGCATATATCCGCCTGCCAAGCCAGTTCCACAATGCCCTGGTGTGCCACCTTGCAACACGCGTCGTCCACAACTTGCTGATCCTCTTCTGCTGCTTCTTCCTTTGCGACCGCCAGGCAAAACACGCGGCTTCGTGCGCGCATGCGTCAATACGAAGAAGGCTTTGGTCTCTCCGACGCGCTGCAGGAGGTTGAGGTACGCTTGTATCAACGGAGGTCGAGTGAGGCTTCTTTGACAAGGTTCATGACCGTTTGTCGCAGCATGCGTGCGTGTGTTCTTACATATGTATGTTGTATGTGTGTGTGTGTGGTGTGCGTGTGCTTTGCTTGGCGGCGGTACGTTCAGGATTTGGAAGCGAAGGTTCGCCAACAGGACAGCGAAATTGAGCAGCGAACACAGGAAGCAAACGCAGCGCTGAGGCGGATGGGTGCGTGGTGCACGTGCTATTATATATATACTGAAGAGTGAACTCGCAGGTGAATGTGGTTGTTCGCGATTGTTGGTGACATGTTTTTCCAAGTGTTGCTGATCACTCAACACGCACACACGCGCACGCATTCATACATACACACACATTCATACATACATACATACACACGCACGCACAAACACACGCACGCACATGCACATGCGCAATCAAACAGATCGACTGTTGGATGAGAATGCGGTTCTGCGCGAGCGTGCGGGCATTTTCACTGTTGGCAGCAGCGAAATCGATCAAATGCATGCAGATCGCAGGCAGGAGTTGGAAGGACTGCGCGATGCCAAAACGCGTTTGCAGGCGGACCTCGACGCCGCCCGTGACGAAACGTGCGTGCAAGTGTGGATGCTTGCATTGATTTTGTTTGTGTGCCTGGCTGCTTTGCTCGTTTGCCTCCCTCTTTCACTTGCCGCACATGCCTGTCTGTGCAACAACTGTGTGCTCATTCCGCTTCACCATCATCATGCACTCGAGCATTTCTTCACGCGCACACCCTGTCATCACGCCTCCAACGCAATCCAATCCCGTCGAATCCACCGATGGTGGCACCAGGGCGCGGCTGCGGCAGAAACTGCGGAAATACGCAACACTCGGGCGCGTTGTTGGTGCAGATGAGATGGAGGGCGACGAGACAGCAGCTGGTGAGGTGGTTGATGCTTTGACGCATGATGCCGTAGCCGTGGTGGCGATGGTGGCGGTGGTGGTGGCGATGATCGTGTTCATGATCGTGTTCATGATCGTGATGACGTGGCAAGCACGCGACCACTTTGGGAAGCAGTGCAGTGATATACTCATTCATGTCTCATTTCCTTTTTCACCCGTGCCTTCCTTTGACATCTTGGTCACATGGGATGGCAACCCACTCACGTGTGTGCGTGCGTGTGTGTGTGTGTGTGTGTGTGTGTGTGTGTGTGTGTGTGTGTGTATGTGTGCGTGTGTGTGTGTGTGTGTGCGTGCCCGTGCAGAGAACGACATTGAGGTGTCGCTGCTGCAGCGGAAACTGCAGGCCGCACACGACGAGCTGGCGGAGGCGCGCGCTGATGCGACTGAATTCAGGCGGCGGTGGACACATGCACAGGACGCGCTGACAGCAGCGGAGAAGCGGGAGAGGGAGAAGGAGCGAGAGGCAGAGCGCTTGGGCACG